GAGAAAGGGGAAATGGCGAGGTTTGCGCCGGCAAAACGGAAAAGTACCCTTTAATTTTATACTTAAAAAATATATATACATTTATAGATTTTATACATATGCATTTATACAGTATTATACTATAAACATATACATTTTATACTTTAAATAAAAACATATAATATGATTCTATAACCTATGATTGATCAAAACAGTATTCACCAAACTGCTAAAATATTTTGAGCTAGTGAATATGGATAAAAAACAAATGAGCAGAAAAAAAGGATTGAAAAAGAAAAGAAAGAAAGAATAAAGATAGATAACATACTACACAAAAACAGAAAAGTTAACAAATAAAATTAGCAATAAGATTATAAACAGATGTTTAATATTGAGATGTTTTTCATTTTAGGATAAAAAATATTTAAACTGGCAAAGTTTGACATCTAAAACATTTTACGATTATTAATACAACATCACACTGACAAAGTTCAATTAAGACAGTCTTGCACCTTACAAACAGCATTCTTTCAACATGTATATTTTTTGTTTATATAAGGGCAAAATGGTATTATGAAAACTAAATATTTATTTTGGGGACTCCAGATTAAGCCAACCTAGCTCAACCTTTGTGAGCCTAGGCAGTAATCAGAATATTTCCTGAAAGGATACTTAGTGTCAGGTACCAAATCATTGCCTATATTACAAGAATATCTTGCTCAACTTTCCGTAGTGTACGCTTCCAGAACTGTTTAAATTACTTAATCTAAAGCAACATTTCAATAGGTTGTCATAAATTGCAAACTTTAAGTCAAGTACAACAAAAAACAACAAAAAAAAAAAAAAAAAAAAAAAATAAATAAATAAATAAATAAACATTAAACATAAAAACTGAAGATATCTTACAGGCAAAGTTCCTGGATATGCTGCATCAAAATAAGAGACACTTGAATTGGTTACTGCTCCAAAAACAGCTGCCGATCTTGAAAATAGTTTAGATTTTGCATTTATCTGGGCATGCACTTCTAAACCAACAGCACACTCCCAGCCTTGTGTAACATCTTCACATTTCTGCCTATAAAGAAAAATAAATATTATGAAAAAGATACATATGATAAAAAAGATAGAAGAAGGCAAAAAAGCAAAAGGCAATACATTAATTTTAAAATGATAACTGAGTATCTTAGCCAAGATACCTTTGGAAAAAATTTCCATGCAAAATTAACTCATGTTTAAGTTAAATAATATGAAAAAAATTCTATAAAAAGCTCTGAAACATTTAACATACTGAACTAATATTTACAGGCTTCACCCATTTAGCAATTGAAAGAAACAAAATTTGGCAATTTTACGTTGATCTTCTGCTTCTTCATTGGCTCAACAGGCCTTCTCCAGGCATCTTTTTGGCAACTGTTCAAGTTTTGACCTTTCAAATGTTTAGGTCACTTTGGGCCAAAATTAAGGCCTTTTAAGGATTAAAAATTGATTGTTCTCCCCCCCCCCAAAAAAACCCCAAGGACTTTTAAATGCTTTTAAGGACTATATAAATCCAGATAAATATATACATTTTCTGAATCCGGTTCCAATAACAGAGGAACGCCCGATTTTCTTTTTAAAAACATACCATTAGATAGATGGTAATAGTGTATTAGTCATTAACCAACAAACATTCTTACAAGTACTCATGGAATTATTTGATTATTAATGAGTTTATGGGAAAAACATGATAAAAAAGCAAAAATAGATATTTTTTATTTTATAAGTTTCACTTCTCCAGAATTGGGCAAAATCAATAAAGCATTTGGAAATGACAAAGTAAATGATGGAATCATACAGCAGTTGTTAAAAAATTTTAGATCCTCTGATATGATGCTTGAAAGCAAGCAGCATGGGCACTCAGCAACAATATTGACAATGGTAAACTGTGAATATAAGTGGAATCTGACTCTTTCTTAAATTGTCAGAGACTTGTGGGAGGAACTAAACATATACTGTTTGACAGTTTCTTATTACTTACAAGCAATTGTAAAAATAAAAAACCACAATAAGTAAATTCTCTACGAAAAAAATATGATACATCATCTGGATATTTGCACTATCTGCTTTTTCAAAATATACTTTTTTTTAACATAACAGTGGTATGTCGTAAAAAATAGATATTATTAATAATAATCCTAAATAATCTGTTTTATAACTAGATGTGGATGATGTCCTGAAACACATGCCAAAACTGAATCTTAACCCAAGAAAGATGAGTGTTTGGTGGTGGTCAGTTGACATTTTTCCATTTTTCACTACTCCACCTTAAATGTGACAAAATTTTGAAAGCTCTGAGAAATATTACATCCAGCTGGCTAAAATGCATTAAAAACTACATATTAAATGCTCAACAGATAAAATTACACTGTTTCATGACAACATGCAACATCTGTCAAGAATGACAATTATTACATAAATTGCATGATGCAACCTCTTCTCTTCAATCAAATTCATTATACCTCTAATTGTTACCACTTTTTTAAGCATTTAAATCATTTTTTGGATGAGAAATAGTTTAATAAAATTATTACTGTCAAAAATGCTTTCAATGAATTTCTTCAAGGCCAGAATTTTAAACCTGTATGAAACTGGCATCACTGATTTTGGATTTGTTGGATTTCATTGGGAAAAGTGTATTCTGTCTAATGCTCTTGTTTTGATTAATAAAAATTGGTTTCAACAGAATTAACATTGTTTAAAGTTTCATTATCAAATTCACTATCTCAAGTGTATCAACCTGACATATGCACCATCTTGTGATCAAATTTATTGTATACATTAACAAATTAAAAGAAAGTAATGCTTAAAGAATTTTTTAATTAAAATATTTTATGTATATAGGACAGACAAAACACATGTATATCCTCCAGTTATAAACAGCTTTAGAGACATTTAAGACAAACCAAGCATAAATAAATCATTCAAATTACAAGTTTTTGTACTTTTCTCAGTCCCCCTTTTTTTTTCATAAATGCTAATTTAGATACTATGATGATCTTCAGTTATTAGTTACCATATCTTATGATAGTACTAAGGTGTGTTTTACCTGGGTAACACAGTACAGGTTAACATAAATTGTATAAATATAGATAAAATGACTTGCTTTCAAAATTTTGGTGGAAAATCTAGTTAGTGTACAATGACTATAAATTACAAACCAAGACCCTTAAATATTTTCTTCAAAATATATAAACATCTCCCTTCCCCTATACCATTTTGATATGGCTTTATATGCAGCAAAGAGAATGAACAAATAAACGTACGATAAGAGTACTTTTGAAGAAATATGTTTCTTGGGAAAGACATGCAGAGGACGTAACAGACGTAAACAAGCGCAGTGTTTTTTAAAGAACATGATATAAAAGAATATTTGCATCCCAAAAAAGATCAAGAATATATTATGCCAGTTTTCTTGGCAAATTTCATTGCATGTCAAAGAGAAAAAAAGACTTAATTGACGAACTTTAAAAACGGAACACACTGGGCCTTTCTTCCCAGATTAAATACACGAACTTTAAAAAACAGAACTCACTGGAATTTCGCAGCTTCCGCCAAGGCGTAAATGGGATGATGCTCTTGCTCACTCCAATTGATTTATAATTGTTTAAAGCAGCGATTTACGTGAGGATCTGATAGCCCATTATATAAGCTATCATTAAAAACTTTGAAGACTTTTCTTCACTCTTCCTTGTAAACAGGAGGGAGAATATTTGTTTCAATTTTAAGAAACGTTAGGTTCAATATCTGGCAACTTGAATTAGCGCGCATTTTTTAGACTAAATTTTATTTTGTATATATAAGTTTCCACTTTTTTACTGAATACTTTATTTAATTTTTGGTGTTAGTTTTGCTTTTTACATTGGTAAAGCAGTCTTTTACTGTCTCTTGCTTAATTCGATTGTGCTGCAATTTTCATACAATAGGTAAATTTGTAGAAATCCCTTATTTTATGGATACACTGCTTCAAAATAGTTTTAATTTCATGTTTTTCTCCGATGTCTTTTACTTCTATTATAACATTGTTTAAATTATTTTTATGACATATTTCTTTAAGCTTCATGGTTAAATGTATAAAAGATAGGTATTTGTGCATTGATATTGGGTTATGTTTATATAATTGAAATTGGGTAGGTAATTTTTGAAGTAAATCTAAAATGTAGGACGTCTTTCAATTTTCCTACCTTTTTTTGTAATAATATTTTTATAATCAAATTAAAAGTGCAGTTTAAATTACATAAATATGTTTGTAATGTAATTTATAAAATTTTATAAAGAAATGAAGTACTAATTTTGTATTTTAAATAGATACTTGTTACCTATTTTCAGCGGTGGAAATGTGACCAATATTTCTTTTTCACTTCTGTCGCTCCAAATTTTCAGAAAATAAAAGTTAAGGGAAATGAAAAATGCAATGTGAGTTTTTTTCTTAAATATGTTTAACACTGGAGTGATATTTACTTTTTCCAGTTCTGTAATGAATTATGCAATCTAAGTAAACCGTTTTGTAGATAAACACATAAATATATCTTATTTATGTGTTTATCTAATTAGAGTTTACGGAACTCCAAGTTGTCTTCAAACTCCAGGTTATTCCAAGTGTGTTTGAACAATATTCATCATACACTTGAGCCCTTACTTTACTGTGTATATCAACCATATGATAAAATTATCATTGTGTAATAGTGATAAATTTCATAGCTAAATCACATATTAATGTAATATGTATATATATTTTTTTTCAGACTGATGTAAAAAAGGAGGAAAAATGGACATTGTTGCTGATGCGGAAGAAATCATACCTCCAACTCCAAAAGCTTTAGGCAATGGATTTCTTCTTTCAAGAATATCTTCAAATTCAAGCAAAACTTCAGGTTTATCCAACAGAAATCATAAAAATTGTAATGCAAATTTTAAACGTAAAAAAATTGGTGGTATCTCACCAGATTTTAAAAAATCTAAGCAGAAATCCAAGCAAGTAACTTTATTAAATTTTTTAGCCAAAGGTAATGAAACAAATAAAACTGCTCCTGTTTCAGAGTCGGATCCTAGTAAAGTAAGAGTAAATCTTACAAAGATGCTTGAATTACCTGCCCAAGCTCATAAAAAAGAAGATGTTAAGGTAATAGAAACTGTTAATGAATTTTCTATTTCTTCGACTTCACAAAAAGGGACTGCTAACAAAGTTTTGAATTTGGAATCTCCTAAAGAGGAAATGAAAGTTTTGTCTTCCTTTAATAATATTAATGAAACTTCTGTATATGACTTTAAAATTTGTTCTGAAATTAAATCTGTAAAATTGGATTCAGAGATGAATAAAAATAAAATCAGTGATTCCGTATCAAGTACAAATCTTGAATGTGATAATGACTTAGTTATGAAGAGCATAGATGAAAATTATAACACAAACTACTCAAAAGAAGATGCTGGGCAGTCTTTCTCATGGTTGAGTGATATAAGCTGGGAAGGAATGGAAGATAATATGGCAGAAAATAAAACTGAAGGGTATGCGTGTCTGTAGTTTAACATAAAATGCTCTTAAAACTTTTCAGACTATTATGGTATCTAGTATAGATGCATGCGAGTTTAAAATTATAGAATATAACTTGAAATTGTTGCTACTAAAATTTGATATTTTTGAGCAAATTTAGGTAATTGATTAGTTTATAATTTCTTTCTCTCGTCCTTTTTGGGATGGGATGGCTATTTTATTTTATTGGCTTTCTCTCTGTGAAAGGACAGGTATGTCAATGACCATATCTTCACCCCCTTCCATTTTCTAAGCTGAATAGTTAAGTTTGATGTCCCTGTGGGTCTTGATCACTTATAAAGGTCTTTGCATTAAGGATCTGTTTTTCTTTATTGTTCCCTTTTCATTCTTGCAGCTTCAGAATTTGGGATAACCTCATTTGTGAATAATAAAGGGAGCATCTGTTTCTTGCATTTCCTTACCTTGCATATATCTGTAAGGACCTTAAGTTTCTTTGGATTCTTTCTTACTATATCTTTGTTAAATTTTAGGCCTTTTTTTTGCTTTATTTTATAACAGTGTGCTGAAACAGGAAAGAGAGTGACTGAAAAAGAAATACGAAAGTTTCTACAAGAGTTTGTGAAATGTTAATTTGTGTTATATCGTAAAACACAGAATCATAATACAAGGTATTGAAGATAGGAACTATCTATCTTGTAACTTCTTCCCATTCTTTTAGAAATTGCACAGTTTTCCCCCTTTCAATTTGAAAGCTTTTAGTGGGTAGAGTAGACTTTAAGGTACCCCTTGTATTATGGCGAAGTTGTTTGATTTATCGCCAACTTGTTTCGTTTATGGTAGCCTGAGTAGTTGAATGTTGTGGAAACCCTATTGTGACGTAATCGGGTGCATGATTCTGGGAAATTTTGAATCATGGAATGTTTTTGTAAGCGTTTTTGTGGTATGTGTTAAAACCGTTTAGATGGATTTGAATGGGTTTGTAGGAAGGTTCAGATGGTCACTATGTGAAGCGTTCGATCGAAAGAATACCTGGTTTGAAAAAAGTCATTTAAGTATGATTGATATTTTGATTTTTACGTGGCTCTGGGTGTACGAAGCGAACTCGAAAATCATGGTAAGTGAATATTTGCTTTTGGTTGTGCTTAAATGTATAACATGTTTTTCTTTAGTTATGTTATTTTATTGTTTGGTTTAAAATGTATTTTATTGAGATTATGTATTTTTTGTTAACCTATATTGTAGTAGTACTCCTTTGACTTTTTATGTGAACATATATCAATGTGTACATGGACAAAGTAAAGGGAGTGTGCAATGCAAGTTTGTGCAATTCTGGGATTTTTTATTTAAGTGAAAATAGGTCGACGTGTACATGGATAAAGTTAAAAGAGTGCGCAATGTCATTTTTGTGCAATTCGGGGATTTTTTTAAGTGAAAATAGGTCGACGTGTACATGGATGAAGTCAAAGGAGTGCACAATGCCATTTTTGTGCAGTTTGGGGTTTTTTTTTTAAGTGAAAGTAAGTCAATGTGTACATGGATACCGAGTTTATACAATTGTTTATCTTGTTATTTTGGCTTTGTGTAGCCAAAAATCGCCGCTTCGCAAACCAAAATAACAAGTCAAAGAATTGCACAAAATCGGTATCCATGCACTGCCAAGCTTCGCCAAGGGGGACCCTAAACTATACTTTTACCACTTTTAGCTATACAAAAATAAATAAAATACTATATGACCAATATGCAGTACAATTCACATTTGAACTAAACAGTGTATTTTTAATTTGGTCTTAAGCATTGCATTTTAACACAGATCTTGGACATTTGCGTAGACTTCAAATTTTAACTTTTCTGCATAAATTTTATTATTTTCATAACATTTTAAATTTTTAATCATTTTTGTAGTGATGATTTTTTATTTTTTTAACTAATACTTCTGCAGAAAAAATGTTAAAGAATTCAAATATTTTTGGTAAAATATAAGCAAATCAAACTTAAAATTTAAAGGAAAAATGATAGTAACTTTTCTGTTTAGTGCAATATTTGCATGGTGTATTTTTCATTTACAAAGTCATGAATGTTAATAAATTTAAAAAAAAAAGTTCATGAAATCTATGGAAAAAATTTCAAATATATTATAAAAATAAGATAGAGACCTGATAAATCAAAAAGACTAAAAATAGCTGTAAAATAACAAAATATGGAGGAATTGGTACTTCATTATTATAGAGGCCTCTGGGATTGAATTACCAATCTTGCTGCGTGATCGTATATTAGCACTGGCTGTATGTTCTTATACCTCGCCACATTAATCGTATATTAGCACCATGTGCATTTTTTTTTTCAATGCGTGTTCTTATATTATTAAGTTTTGATGACATTTTCAAATTCTATTGTTTATTATAATATATATTATATATATATATATATATATATATATATATATATATATTGTGAATGTGATGTTAACAATCTTTAATTTACCAAATAATGAGGTTGTCGTATCATTGTTTCAAGAAAGAAGTCTTTTACCTGACAAATGAGTAATCCAAACTGGCCAAAACATGAAATTTTATATTAATGACAAAACCATTTGGATGTGCAATGTTAAAAATTGCAAAAAGAAGAAGGGCCTCGGTGCTGGAAATTGGTTCAGCGGTTCCAGAATATCGTTCTTTACTGCTATTAGATATATGTATTCTTGGGCTGAGTAATTGACATCCATGAAATGGTATAACAAACAGTTTAATATGTGTGAAAGTGTTGCAGTTGACTGGAATAATTACATGCAATAAGATAATAAGAATAAGACTTGTAGGGATTTATATTTATTTTAACTAACAAGTTAAAGTTTAATTTTAAACTTTCCTATAAGCCTTCATTCCCCTAATTGTTAATGCCAGATTATTTAAATTTGGTTGTGTGTATGAAGGAATGCAAATTCTACCTTGTGAAGAAAGAGTTTAAAAACTGAAGTTCGGGAGGAAAGTTAGGCTATTGCCATTATCTCTGTTGCTTAAACTTCAGCTACCGGAGATATTGCTCGTTTACATGGCATAACTGCATTTACCTGCTGCCACTAGTTTCGACGCAAGTTTACTTGTGCATATCTTTGAATTTTTAGTTCTGTGATTTCAGTTACTGCCCAAGGGAGGTGTAGGGTGTTAGCATCGAGTTGACGCGTCATAAATTTTAAAGAGTTAATAAAAGGTACTTTTAACCCTTCTTCTGTGTAGTTCCTACCAGAACTTACTACATGTACAATTCTCACTTAGAAGTTAAACAAGTAGACCCTACAGGCTCCTTACAAATTTTCTTAGCAAACAACATGTGAGTGTTATTATTATACAGTCAAAAGTCTTTAATCTGGACCTCAAAGCTACAAACTTTTCTTGCATGAGTAATCGCATAATACGTCTATGCATGCGCATAATACCTTTACTCATGCACGTTTAATGTATAACGGACGGTATAAGCTAACCTAAAATTATCTAATTGTCTATTTCAGTTAATGTTGCAGATTCCTTTTTCCTTAATCTTCTAATTGGATCCGGCTTATTATTTTTTGCAGACTGCTAGAGCAATTTTATAAAAGTAAGCTTGAACTTTCGATTATGTCAAAAAGAATTTTCGATTCTGGAGCTGCCAAAGGATCTACAAAACGAAAGCATGTTTTGATGTCCATCAAACAAAAAGTGGAATTGCTGCAAAAATGGATAAAGGCATATCCTTTGTTTCTCTAACCATTCCGAAATCTGTTTATCAATTTCACGCTGCTCTGCCGGGAAGGGAGGGGGAACATCGCGGCTCGCAATGAACTGGAAGTTGATCTGTCAGCCCTATCCTTATCTTTAGGTCAGATGTTTTTATTTTATTCGGCTTATAATTCCTTACTAATGTAATATTTCCTCTCGACATACTCCGTCTTTGATATGATTTAAATCAAATTCCTCATCATTATAAATATCACGAATACACATCAAATAGTTTTCTGGTTGCAGTTTTCTAATTTCGACTATGCGTAATGTATGCTTTACGCATGCATGCGTTGGAAGAAATGTTTAATAAAGTAAACAAATAAATATTAAGCTTTTTTTTTTTTTTTTTTTTTTGTAAATTTTGATACCCTTTAGATCATAATTGCTCTTTATTTCATAAATTACGGTTTCATATTTTTTATTTTATAATTTCTGCATGCCATCTTACCAGATTTAACCTTTTTGCGACGGCACACCTTTGTTTCGCTTGTGCGGGATGGAAGGGAATCGAAGGCAGTCACCATACAGGATTTAGATTTTGCATCGCTAAGCCTAATTTTATTGAAAAAAATCAGAAAAAAAAAAAGTTTTGCTTCTATCATCGCAATTTTTGGTATCGTTTTAGATTATTACTTGAGCTCTTATATATATTAAAATTAGCACTTAATAACATTTTTTTTCTTTATTTTACATGAAAATATACTAAAAAATTGTTTATCTTGTAAAATAATTTTCGGAAGCGCTATTCAAATTATTCCAAAGTTTTAATTGATAAAATCCATCAATAAAGTTTAAAATTAATAAAACAACACTATGAAGACTGTTTACAGTAAGAAGTAACAAAATGTAAAATGAAGACTGAGTGTGGTAAGTATCACTTCCTAACTCTCAGAAAAAGTATTACTTTATAACTCGTTAGAAAATGAATCATCACTCTCATCTGCGTTAATAAATGGTTCATTGACCATACGAGGGTATTCTTCTTCTGATAAATAGCGCCTTCCCACCATAACAGACTGGATGTGAGGCCTTCCGAAATAAAAAGAGAAGAAACGGAAATTTATCTGAAGGCAATGCAAAATGTAACAATACTCTACATACTAAAGGAAAAAATAAAATAAAAAAAGGAATTGGATATAAATCAGACATACGAATTTTTTCATTAGCACGCAGCAATTTAAAGAGCTCACCACCTCTGTTTACGCTTTCCCCTCCCCCCTCCAACCTCACAACAGCTGATGAGTAAAATACCAAAGTCAAGCAGAATATATCAAACTGAAGGTCATGAACCTAAAACTGTGTTCATTTCAAAAGTAATGGACATAGGATGCCATCTGGCCTTCAGAAAAACATTCCAGCTTAAAATGCGTATACGCATCACCCGTCCTCTGAATGCAATCTCTAGCGATGCATGGATGGGATGCCCGGCTGTAAGAAACATTCTTAGGGAATGCGTATATGGGACGCCCATCCTGAAAGGGTTAAACTGATGATCTATAATCCGGAATCACCGAAGTCCCGATGAGTCCACATTAAAGACTTTTAACTGTATACTGTGTTTATTTTTACATTCATGCTTCACAAATTTGCCGAAATTATAGCTGTAATTATAGCTTGGCGCAAATCTAAAATCACCAAATATAAAGAGGCCGCTATAACAAAGAAGTACTGAGAAATTTTATAACATAACTTTAAAATAAAAATATAATAGAATTAATTATTGTTAACACTTTATAAATGACTTAATTTCGTGAGATATATTAAATCCTTATTTAAAAGTTCAATTTTTTAAATATGTATGCTATGTATTAAAAGATCAAAACTAGTGCTATAATATAAAGAAATAGAAGGAATTTTTTTATAATGGAAGTATACATTCTGTTCTGCACATAACCAAGTAGTCTGATTTGGAATCAATTGCCACTTTAAATTTCCCCTCTATAAGGAAAAGCATCTAGCAGTTTAGTCATTAATATCTATATTTCCCTTCATTTTGCTGAGTAAATGCATCTGTTTAAGGGTGAATGAAACTATCTGAAAGGATCATTGTTGAGGAGGACTTCTTGAAAGGAGAGAAAGCATAGATATGACAACTATCATCTTCATAAGGATCGTACAGGCGTGAAAATTCTGACCTCAAAATGTTAAGAGGTTATAAAATATCTTTCCATGCCTGAAATCCCCTTATTATTAGCATTATGTGTGATATAACATAAATCTAAAAGGGAATCCCTTAATTACAGCTTAACAAGAAAGATAATCATGCAAAGAACTAAAAGTTAAAGAAATCAAATGAGTTTAGGTTTTTTTTTTTTTTTTTTTTTTTTTTTTTTTTTTTTTTTTTTTTTTTTTGGCACAGTTTCTGTTTCTGTCTGCACAATACCTTCATGAATGGCAATAGTTTTTTGTGTAAAAATGTATTCTTTTAGGCTCTTATTATCATGAAAATTATTGCTTTATTTATTTACTTTTTTTTTTCTTAGCTGTGGACACTCAAAAGAATGTAAGAGGTATAAAGTAAAGGAACTGAACAGAAAAAAACCAAATGAGATTAAACTGACTTTAAAAGATCCTGATCCAAATGTCACCGATTTGAAAACTTGTATTTTACGAGGATTCTGGTGAGCCCTTTTTTTTATAACATTAAAACAGTTTAATATGTTAAATGCTGAACATAATTTTGCTTTATCATTGAAAAATTGTGAAATGATAATTACAGTTTATTATTGTATATTTTTTTTATACATAGTATCTTAATTAAGAAAGGAATAGGTGTAATATAATCCTTTTTAACCATTTTTTTGCTTGATGATTGAAAAGATCTCCAAGACCCATATCAAGTTGAAATCTATGCATTGGGGGGGGGAATATTATGATTAAAAATAAAGATATGTTAAGCAGGTTAAGTTAACATCTAAAAAAGGATAGAAAATATTAAATTCATTTCAAAAACAATGGTTGGTGAATCTTCGGATTATGGTAACCTGGTGATTTTTTGTCAAAAATTTGGCGACCAACCCTGCTGCAGCAACCCGCTAGTTGTTTTTTGGACGCCATTTTGTTTTCACGAAGTAAAAAGGCATGTTTTTTTTTTTTTTTTTTTTTTTTTTAACTCAACATTTTTTTCCAACAGTCTGCTAGCCGAATTACGCTTATGCTAGAACTTTTATGGAACAAAAGTGCTTAATCATGATGATGATTAGGTGCAAAATTGGGGGGAGAAAGTGCAGAATCACCCACTGCTTGCTGCGTTTTTAAGAATTGCACATACATGGTATCCATGTACATGTCGACCTATTTTTACTTTAAAAAACATCCCAGAATTGCACAAAAATGGCATTGCGCACACTCTTGACTTTATCCATGTACACATCAACCTATTTTCACTTAAAAAGTCAAAGAAAATTGACACAAATCCAATTCTTCTTACTCTTGTAAAAGTAGCCAAACAAATAAGTGGGCGATTCTGCACTTTAACAGAAAAATTGTTTCTAAGTGCTTATTAGCTAAGATCACAATTGCAATTTTCCGGAAAATGTCACATTACATGTCTCATGATCTCTCATTTCTCTGAGACAAAATAATCTATGATTCGAACTGTGTACTTCTCAGATTATTGCTAAAGTCCTAGCTAGTAACCTTTATTGCCTTACCAAAATGTCACCAAACTACCTGTTACCATATTCCAAAGATTAGCCCAATGGTTATATTATACCCATACAAATTTTGATCATCAGGCGCTGAAAATAGCATGAAATAATACTTTTGATTAACACGGCAGAAGGTGCGCACCCAACACTGATGTTGGAGATCGCGCGTGGGAACTGCATTACCCCAATCAATTTCATTAAGAAAATGTGTTATATATTTTATAGAAACCATTTGATTATAAACAATAATTGCAATATTTCATTGAGAAACTATACTTATTTATTTAAGAAAACTTATTTCAATATTTAAGAAAAATTTCCATTCAAAATAATTACATACCTAAACAGGTGTCAGAAGTTAACATACACTTCTGGCACACATAGGAAAAATGAATTTTACATGAAAAATGATCACATATTTTGCAAGAAGTTGTAGTTTTATTGTCTTTGGATCTTGGACACATAGCACGTCAACCTTTATCGAAGTTTTGGTTTCTTTGATGGGCGTTCTTCTGATACACTAGAAGTTGCATTATCGATGCTTTCTCGAACCACTTTAGGAAGCATTGACATATTTTTTGTTATCTCTATGGGAGGCGCTGTATAAGAGATATAGCCAAATTTTTTAGGAATTTTCTATTATTTCGATATTGTAAAGGAGGTGTCTTTGTTGAGAATAAGGCAACTCTGTTATTTATTGCAGTGTCGTTAAACACAGTAAAAGATGAACCATCGGCCATCTGGAGGTTTTTCGAAGCTGTCGAATATAATGATAACATTTCATCAACTTTATCTACACCACCTTTTGTTGCATTATGAAAGTAAATTATTTCTGGTTTCTTCGTATCATCACTTTCATCAATGGCATCATCGCAACGCATTGTATGAGGCGTATTCGGAAACTAAGTACCGTTTTGAAAAAAAAAAAATAGTAAAACAATTTTTTCGAATCCAATTTTATTTTTACATGAAAATGCATGTCTTAAACTATTTTTCAACATAGTTTCCGCCAATGATCAAACACTTGTCATAGTGGGTGACCAGTTTTTGTATACCATCGTCAAAGAAACTTCCCGCCAGTTTCGATAACCACGACTCCACAGCATTTTTTGTGTCATCGTCAGATCCAAAGCGCTTGCCACCAAGCTCGCGCTTCATGTGCAGGAACAAGTGATAGTCGGACGGCGACAAGTCCAGGCTGTACGGCGGGTGATCGAACTGCTCCCAATGAAACTGTCGAATTAACGATTGAGTGACACCAGCAGTATGGGGCCGAGCATTGCCATGGAGCAACACAATTCCTTTACTGAGCATTCCTCTTCATTTGTTTTGAATGGCACGCCTTAGTTTTGTTAAAGTGTCACAATATCGTGCCACATTAATGGTTTCACCTCTGGTAAGAAATTCAGTAAGCAAAACGCCTTTCCTATCTCAGAAAACAGTGCACATGATTTTTTGTGATGACATTGTCACTTTGAACTTTTGTTTTTTCGGAGAATGACTGTGTCTCCACTCCATCGATTCTTGTTTCGATTCTGGTGTGAAATGACACACCCAAGTTTCATCACCTGTCACAATTTGGTTTAAAAAGTTTTCTCCCTCATCACTGTACTGCGTGAGAAATGTCAGGGCACTACCAAGTCGCTTTGTTTTGTGAACATCAGTGAGCATTTTTGTAACCCATCGGGAACACAGTTTGCGATAATTCAAGCGGTCAGACACAATTTCGAACAAAACAGTACGGGAAATTTGTGGAAATGCCTCTGAAAGAGTTGTCATTGTGAAGCGTCTGTTCTCATGAATTGCTTCATCAACTTTCCTTACCAAATCATCGGTGACAACAGAAGGCCGAACACTCCGAGCCTCGGCGTGGACATTTGTTCGACCTGCATTAGACATTCTTACCCACTTTCTCATCATTCCATCACTTATCGCGTATTCACCGTAAACTTCTGTCACTTGACGATAAATTTCGGCCGGTTTAACATTCCTCGCATTCAAAAATTTAATCACGGCACGATTCTCATAGTCAGCGGGAGAACTAATTGTCTTAAACATTTTGAACGTGCACAGCAAACTAAAAACACAACATAGAGCAACCAAAATGGCGACAATTGAAAGTCAGTGAACAAGAAAGACTAGTACGCATGCGCGGGACGTCTACCACAGTGCTGCGATGGCGCTAGAATGAAACGGTACTTAGTTTCCGAATACGCTACGTAGATAACAAAACTATACATTTTGATTTTTTAGGCACATACTATACTAGTGTCACATTCTTTTCCGTTCCTAGTTTTTGTTTGGACGAACTTGGTGGGAATTTCAGCCTTGTTTCTGTTCAGGGTTCCTGCAATAGTTAATTTCTTTGATAAAAGTTTTTTTGCACAGGCGTTTTGTAATTTCAAATGGTGAATTTTCAAATCTAAAGGGACCTTCCAACTGTTGCCCTGCGTATATCTTGTCCGAAGCTTGAATACATACACTCAAGTGTCACGGGATAAGAAGTTTCATTAATTTTCCTTAGATGTTGATTGACGCATAAGACGTGTGTTATATATGTAACTGTAACTGTATCTATTATTATCTTTAATCATAACTGTAATATAGAATAGTAGATGAGCAATGTAGAATAAACGATGTTTGTGTACATCTTGTAATCATCACTGAGCACGTACCCAACACATATAAAATACAACACATGGCGCAGCCCGTCGTTGATTAAAAAAGAAAATCTTTTTTGAAGAACCATGCAGCCTCCATGATGGGAAGTTGTTTACTGTGAAATCGAAACTTATATCGCTGGTAAGTGAGTTGTTTATTTTTATTGGAAGTGGCTAAAAATACGTATATATAAACTATTTAAAGTCCTAAATTAAATATGGATGGATTAAAGCCACCAAGTAATCTAAGTTTCGAAGGAAATTTAAGCGAAAATTGGAAGAAATGGAAACAAAAATTCCAAATTTATATGTTAGCGTCTGGTGGTATTACTAAATCACCTGAAATTAAAGTAGCTATTTTATTGCATATAATTGGTGAAGAAGCACTTGAAAAATTTAATACTTTTAATTTAAGTGAAGAAGATAAGAAGGATGTTGACAAAGTAATTGAAGCTTTCGAAAATTTTTGCATACCGAAAGCAAACGAAAGTGTTGATAGACATATATTTTTCTGTCGAACACAACATGTAGGTGAATCGTTTGATGATTTTTTAACCGATTTAAAGAAATTAAGTAGCAACTGTGGATTTGCAGAATTAAAAGATAGTTTAATAAGGGATAGAATAGTAAGTGGAATTCTAAATAAAAATCTCAAAGATAGATTATTAAGGGAAGATCAGTTAACATTGGAGAAATGTATTAAAATGTGTAAAGCTTCTGAATTAGCAGAACTTCAGCTGAAAACTTTAACTGAAGAAAATAAAATAGAAGCTATCAAACGTAATAAATTTCGACCTTCAGAGGAAAAAAGTCAGCCTTGTAAGAAAGACTATCATGTAAAACAAAAGCAACAAAGTACTAAATCTTCTTCAAACTATCAAGGAAATAAGTACAATAATCCAAAACCATGTAGAAAATGTGGAACTTTTCATAAGTTATACAACTGTCCTGCTTATAATAAGATTTGCTTGTACTGTAAAAAGAAAAATCACTTTTCTAAAATGTGCACTTTTAAAAATGTTAATGTTGTACAGAATAATTTAGAGCATGAGTTACATAATAATGGTAATGAATATATTTTAGGGTCAGTAGAAGATATAAATCCATTTTCTAAAAATAAAACCGAATGGTTTGAAAAACTAAAAGTAAACATATCTAAATATTTATTTGTTAAGTTGGATACTGGAGCTCAGTGTAATGTGCTACCATTGCCTAAATTTAAACAATTAAATTTAAGAGAGAAATGTTTGACTAAATCAAAAGTCACTTTAAATAATTACAATGGTACTACAATTGATGTAGTTGGAAAAT